CTAAAATGGACCGTATTCGAGATATTTGAAAAAATGTGTGAATTTCGAATTTTAAAAAAAACTCAAAAAAGGATAAAGAGAAAAATATCAAATTTTAAACTTAAGCTCTATTCCGACCTAAGATGAACTAATTACATTTTTGGCAAAGTCAGAACATTTGGGGGGTACTTTATAGGGGGTCGTTTTTATATTTTATGCAAAATTACCGTTATTTACGTTTGGAGAAAAAAATCCTTCAAATAAAAGTTACTTCTAATATTATTCTCTATAATTTTTGTCCAATACAAAATTTTCCTAAAATGGACCGTATTCGAGATATTTGAAAAAATGTGTGAATTTCGAATTTTAAAAAAAAACTCAAAAAAGGATAAAGAGAAAAATATCAAATTTTAAACTTAAGCTCTATTCCGACCTAAGAGGAACTAATTAAATTTTTGGCAAAGTCAGAACATTTGGGGGGTACTTTATAGGGGGTCGTTTTTATATTTTATGCAAAATTACCGTTATTTATGTTTGTAGAAGAAAATCCTTCAAATAAAAGTTATTTCTAATATTATTCTCTATAATTTTTGTTTTATACAAAATTTTCCTAAAATAGACCGTATTCGAGAAATTTGGCAAAATGTGTAAATTTCGAATTTTAAAAAAAAACTCAAAAAAGGATAAAGAGAAAAATATCAAATTTTAAACTTAAGCTCTATTCCGACCTAAGATGAACTAATTAAATTTTTGGCAAAGTCAGAACATTTGGGGGGTACTTCATAGGGGGTCGTTTTTATATTTTATGCAAAATTACCGTTATTTACGTTTGGAGAAAAAAATCCTTCAAATAAAAGTTACTTCTAATATTATTCTCTATAATTTTTGTCCAATACAAAATTTTCCTAAAATGGACCGTATTCGAGATATTTGAGAAAATGTGTAAATTTCGAATTTAAAAAAAAAAACTCAAAAAAGGATAAAGAGAAAAATATCAAATTTTAAACTTAAGCTCTATTCCGACCTAAGATGAACTAATTAAATTTTTGGCAAAGTCAGAACATTTGGGGGGTACTTTATAGGGGGTCGTTTTTATATTTTATGCAAAATTACCGTTATTTATGTTTGGAGAAGAAAATCCTTTAAATAAAAGTTACTTCTAATATTATTCTCTATAATTTTTGTCCAATACAAAATTTTCCTAAAATGGACCGTATTCGAGATATTTGAGAAAATGTGTGAATTTCGAATTTAAACAAAAAAAACTCAAAAAAGGATAAAGAGAAAAATATCAAATTTTAAACTTAAGCTCTATTCCGACCTAAGATGAACTAATTAAATTTTTGGCAAAGTCAGAACATTTGGGGGGTACTTTATAGGGGGTCGTTTTTATATTTTATGCAAAATTACCGTTATTTATGTTTGTAGAAGAAAATCCTTTAAATAAAAGTTACTTCTAATATTATTCTCTATAATTTTTGTCCAATACAAAATTTTCCTAAAATGGACCGTATTCGAGATATTTGAGAAAATGTGTGAATTTCGAATTTAAACAAAAAAAACTCAAAAAAGGATAAAGAGAAAAATATCAAATTTTAAACTTAAGCTCTATTCCGACCTAAGATGAACTAATTAAATTTTTGGCAAAGTCAGAACATTTGGGGGGTACTTTATAGGGGGTCGTTTTTATATTTTATGCAAAATTACCGTTATTTATGTTTGTAGAAGAAAATCCTTTAAATAAAAGTTACTTCTAATATTATTCTCTATAATTTTTGTCCAATACAAAATTTTCCTAAAATGGACCGTATTCGAGATATTTGAGAAAATGTGTGAATTTCGAATTTAAACAAAAAAAACTCAAAAAAGGATAAAGAGAAAAATATCAAATTTTAAACTTAAGCTCTATTCCGACCTAAAATGAACTAATTAAATTTTTGGCAAAGTCAGAACATTTGGGGGGTACTTTATAGGGGGTCGTATTTATATTTTATGCAAAATTATCGTTATTTATGTTTGTAGAAGAAAATTCTTCAAATAAAAGTTATTTCTAATATTATTCTCTATAATTTTTGTTTTATACAAAATTTTCCTAAAATGGACCGTATTCGAGAAATTTGGCAAAATGTGTAAAGTTCTGATTTTTAAACTAAAAAATTGGAAGAAAAGTGTAAAATTTTAATTTTTCAGTATTTTCCTTGGCAATGAATATATATTTAATTTATCCTCTAAATATTTACAAAGGTGCTACAATAGATTGTACAAAATAACCAGAAAAAGCCTGTAATATCTAGATAGAAAAGACATGTATTGGACATATCAAATTTTTATTTATAAAATCAAAAATGTGTTACTTCTGATGTACCTCAAAGATAAGCTTAATTATCACTCTGATGTGTACAGTTATCCAACACAAAACATAAATAACTTATATTAAAACTGTTATTAAAAGCACAACACAAAATTCACTATCTTTTTAAAGATCTATACCTCTATAATGCACTCACAAAGAAAATTAAATCTATATTTAAAATCCAGCTCACAGATTATTTAATTAATGAATATTTTTCAGAAATAGTCTAAATACTCCCAGAAAAATTAAATCTATAAATTCTGTAACTATATTTAAAATCCATTATTATTATTAATGAAAATTAATGAATATTTTCCAGAAATAGTAGCAGGGCAGTGTTACCAGATCTCCTGTTTTTACACTTAATCTCCTGTTCTACTGTTTTTACTATGAAATCTACTGTTTTTAGCCTCAATGTCTATTTTTATGTTTTTTCTATGAAATATTCTGCTGATTTCTGTTGGACACATCAGATTTTGAATATATTGCTGTATTTTTTTCATAGAGAAATACACCTATGGTTAGGTTAGATAGATATTAAGATCTATCTAACCTAACCATAGGTGTATTTCTCTATGAAAAAAATACAGCAATATATTCATACACCTATGGTTAGGTTAGATAGATCTTAATATCTATCTAACCTAACCATAGGTGTATTTCTCTATGAAAAAAATACAGCAATATATTCATACACCTATTGTTAGGTTAGATAGATCTTAATATCTATCTAACCTAACCATAGGTGTATTTCTCTATGAAAAAAATACAGCAATATATTCATACACCTATGGTTAGGTTAGATAGATCTTAATATCTATCTAACCTAACCATAGGTGTATGAAAAAAATACAGCAATATATTCATACACCTATGGTTAGGTTAGATAGATCTTAATATCTATCTAACCTAACCATAGGTGTATTTATGAAAAAAATACAGCAATATATTCATACACCTATGGTTAGGTTAGATAGATCTTAATATCTATCTAACCTAACCATAGGTGTATTTCTCTATGAAAAAAATACAGCAATATATTCATACACCTATGGTTAGGTTAGATAGATATTAAGATCTATCTAACCTAACCATAGGTGTATTTCTCTATGAAAAAAATACAGCAATATATTCATACACCTATGGTTAGGTTAGATAGATCTTAATATCTATCTAACCTAACCATAGGTGTATGAAAAAAATACAGCAATATATTCATACACCTATGGTTAGGTTAGATAGATCTTAATATCTATCTAACCTAACATAGGTGTATGAAAAAATACAGCAATATATTCATACACCTATGGTTAGGTTAGATAGATCTTAATATCTATCTAACCTAACCATAGGTGTATTTCTCTATGAAAAAAATACAGCAATATATTGATACACCTATGGTTAGGTTAGATAGATCTTAATATCTATCTAACCTAACCATAGGTGTATTTCTCTATGAAAAAAATACAGCAATATATTCATACACCTATGGTTAGGTTAGATAGATCTTAATATCTATCTAACCTAACCATAGGTGTATGAAAAAAATACAGCAATATATTCATACACCTATGGTTAGGTTAGATAGATCTTAATATCTATCTAACCTAACATAGGTGTATGAAAAAATACAGCAATATATTCATACACCTATGGTTAGGTTAGATAGATCTTAATATCTATCTAACCTAACATAGGTGTATGAAAAAATACAGCAATATATTCATACACCTATGGTTAGGTTAGATAGATCTTAATATCTATCTAACCTAACCATAGGTGTATTTCTCTATGAAAAAAATACAGCAATATATTGATACACCTATGGTTAGGTTAGATAGATCTTAATATCTATCTAACCTAACCATAGGTGTATTTCTCTATGAAAAAAATACAGCAATATATTCATACACCTATGGTTAGGTTAGATAGATCTTAATATCTATCTAACCTAACCATAGGTGTATGAAAAAAATACAGCAATATATTCATACACCTATGGTTAGGTTAGATAGATCTTAATATCTATCTAACCTAACATAGGTGTATGAAAAAATACAGCAATATATTCATACACCTATGGTTAGGTTAGATAGATCTTAATATCTATCTAACCTAACCATAGGTGTATTTCTCTATGAAAAAAATAGAGCAATATATTCATACACCTATGGTTAGGTTAGATAGATCTTAATATCTATCTAACCTAACCATAGGTGTATTTCTCTATGAAAAAAATACAGCAATATATTCAAATAGATAGGAAAGTCAGTGTTGGACACATCAGATTTTTAGAATCATTAATTCACTAGCCGACTGCTTATAATCTAGAGATTTTGCATCAATATTGTAGTACTGGGAAGAAATTATCAAATATTTGTTTTACTCTAAAAACCAACAATATAATGTCCCAATATTCTATTAATAATACTCCACTAGTGGCAGTTGATCAAACAAAAGATCTTTAGTATTAATTTAGACAGTAAATTTAGATTTTCAGAACATATGAACAATTCAAAGAAAATGTTTAGATTTATTTGTCAAACTTGCAGATTTTAATTCTTAAACTACCTAAAAGCTATTCACAGTAGATCTGAAAAGGTCTATATAGGCAAGGCTGCAATAAATCTAATCTAAGTACACAAGTATTTGAATCAAAATTTCTTACCTTTATGCAAATCTTCGAAAGCTTGATATATAAGAGCCATACTAAGCGAATCACCATGATGTAGAACAGAAAAATATGTATCGAAAGAATCAAGAATAAATTCAGCTCCTTCTTCTCGCAAAGATAATCTACAACCTGAAATATAAAACATGTAAACTTCAAGCAGATATATATTGTTTTAACTAACTTACCCTTTAATTCATTCGGAATATCTTTCTGTACAGACACATTTTTAACGTAGTAATCATCGTTTATACTACTTTTTAATAAATCGTCCGTTTGTCGAGGTATTAAGAACGTGAAATGAGCCATTTTAGTCTATTTTATGACCGGCATAGGCCCACAAAAACAGTACCAATACACCACAAACGCGGGCAGAATAAATTTCGACAAATAATTACACGTGTTAATCTAAAATTTAACCGAAACTAGCGAGAGCACATACACTTTAAAAATCGAAAGCATAAAAACTAAAATCCGTCTTATAAAAACATAAACAAAAAACCAACTCCATATAAAACTGACAGTTTTTTAAAATTTTAAAAGTGCTACCAACATGCAAAATGGCAGTTATTTTTAAGTGTTGCCAACATGAAGAAATTAATTTAACCAATGTTATATATTTATATAGACTGCTCATCCATACGTAAATAAAACGTTGTGCGGGTCGAACAGGGGGTCGATTCTCGACTTGTAGGAACCTTTTCCTATAGGAATTTGTGACACTTTCCTATGTGTAGGAAAATGTAATAAATTTTTGATGTATATAAAAATGTCAAAAATACCTATAGGAAAATATTCCTACGAGTCGAGAATCGACCCCTTGTAGGAACCTTTTCCTATAGGAATTTGTGACACTTTCCTATATGTAGGGAAATGTCATAAATTTTCTAAGTATAGAAAAATGTCAAAAATTCCTATAGGAAAAAATTCCTACGAGTCGAGAATCGACCCCCTGGGGGGATACTTAAAATATCGAAATGGTATACTAAGTCGTAGAATATCGATACAAAATATCGATTTTCGAACTTCTGAATATCGATACTGTCAAATATCGTATCGAATCACACAACTACATAAATTGCAACCATTTTGTTTTGAAATGCCTATTGTCAATCGGACGCCTAGCACCATGGTGCAGCATTTCAATTCATCTCAAAATATCTATTATTTAAGTGAACATCCGACTTTTAAAATTCAACAAACTTAATTATTACATCCAGTGCCGTAATTATAAAACAATATTTTAAGTTAAAAATACCAAGTGAAGTGAAAACATTACAACATATCGTTCCCCCATGCCGTGTCGTGAGATGAGCTTCATCTTGATTTTCGATCAATAATTGAAGCCACATCCTTCATGGCTGTGCTGGAGTATAAGAGATTTTTGTAATTTATGTTATACAAAATCTTCTAGACAAATTGTGACGATATTTTTGGCGAATTTGAAGCCAACACATCAGGATAAAAAGTTGGTTGAATAAAACCAGTTTTTATCGAATTTGAAGCGTCCAAAATTGTACAAAGTTCACATTTGGTGCCCAAAAATACAGCGGGAATCGGTGCTGCAAAAGAAGGTATTATATTTCATCATTTAATAATTAAAAAAGACTTAAGAATGCTAGTGAAAGAAGAGCTGTGGATATCGGAACCAATCAAGCAAATATGGTTTATTTCTAGATGAATATGTTCGATATAAAGCTGAACTTTTAATAAAAGGTTAGTATGTAATGAAAGTTCTGTAATTTTAGTTTTTTTTTTTTTTTTAACCTCAAATTACTCTTAATATTTTTTTTATGTACGTTCAGCGATAATTCTTTAACACGGTGTCCGATTTCAATGATTCTTTTTTTTGTTATAAAGGGAGTATATCAGGGGTGGTCCCATATAAATTTGGTCATAATCTAATGATTGGGTCCATGAGAAAATCCTCAAACCCATCTTTCATGTATGTTTAGCGATAATTCTTTAACACGGTGTCAGATTTCAATGATTCTTTTTTTGTTAGAAAGGGGATACCTCAAGGGTGGTCCCATATAAATTTGGTCAAAATCTAATAATTGGCTGCATGAGAAAATCATCAAACTCTTTATTTTTTATGTATGTTTATCGATAATTCTTTACCACCTTGTCCAATGTCTATGATTATTTTTTTGTTAGAAAGGGGGTACCTCCAGGGTGGTCCCATATTAATTTGGTCAAAATCTAATAATTGGCTCCATGAGAAAATCCTCAAACTCTTCATTTTTCATGTATGTTTAGTTTGACAATAATTCAGCAGTTTAGGGAAAAAATATACATTTGGCAACTATGTCAACAAAAACTTTAAGGAAATTTAAGAAATTTAGTGAAAACTGCATGTAGATATCTTTTTCTATTCTCAAGTTATAAGCTGTTAAATTGTGTTACTTATAGTGGCACACCCTGTATTATTTCCCTCACATATTTGTAGTTTTCTATCCATTCTTTCTTTATTTTCAGATTTCAATGGAAATTTCCAGCAACGTCTCCTAGTTTGTAAGTTTTATTAAAAAATTTTGAAAGACACTAATGAAAAATAATTAAAAATTTGTTTCAATGAATTTAATTTGAAATCTAACAATGATATTAAATAATGAAACCATTTAAGTGTGATATATAAATTTACTTAAAAATCTAATTTGTAAATAAATTTTATAATTCACACTGAATAGAAACTGTACAAGGAGAAATTTACTTAAAATCTAGCTTGTAGCTATATTAAAAAACCAGAGAATTAATGAAATGATTTGCAAAACCATTTAAAAATAAAATCCCCAACCTGTTGGCTTACTAATTTCTATTAGAAATAATTTTATGATAACTGTAGCTTATAGACACATTTAAGAACCCACACTAATGAAAAAACCATTTAATAATATGCACACTAATGAAAAGCATTTTAGTAATAGTTTTTTCAAAGAAATTAAATTATAAATGTATATTACAGACACATTTAAGAACCCACACTAATGAAATACCATTCAAGACGCATTTAATAACATACACACTAATGAGAAACCATTCCAGTAATAGGTTTTTCAAAGTAATTAAATCAAATGTATCTTAAGACACGTTGAAAAACACACTAATGAAGCGGTTGTTCTAAGTAATTTACTCAGAAATATAATTTATAGATACATTTAAAAACACACACTTATTACATGATTGTTCTACATAATTTACTCAAAAATCTAACTGACATTTTAAAACGCACACTAATGAAGCCGTTGTTCTATTTTACTCAGAAATATAATTTATAGATACATTTAAAAACACACACTTATTACATGATTGTTCTACATAATTTACTCAAAAATCTAACTTAGACATTTTAAAACGCACACTAATGAAGCGGTTGTTCTAAGTCATTTACTCAGAAATATAATTTACAGACACATTTAAGAAACCACACTTATTAGACGATTGTTCTACATAATTTACTCAAAAATCTAACTTACAGACATTTTAGAACCCACACTAATGAATCGGTTCTAAGTCATTTACTCAGAAATATAATTTACACACACATTTAAAAACCCACACTTATTAGACGATTGTTCTACATAATTTACTCAAAAATATAACTTACAGACATTTTAGAACCCACACTAATGAATCGGTTCTAAGTCATTTACTCAGAAATACAATTTACAGACATTTAAGAATCCACACTTATTAGACGATTGTTCTACATAATTTACTCAAAAATCTAACTTACAGACATTTTAGAACCCACACTAATAAGCGGTTCTAAGTCATTTACTCAGAAATATAATTTACAGACACATTTAGGAACCCACACTTATTAGACGATTGTTCTACATAATTTACTCAAAAATCTAACAGACATTTTAAAACGCACACTAATGAAGCGGTTGTTCTAAGTCATTTACTCAGAAATATAATTTACGGAAACATTTAAGAACCCACACTTATTAGACGATTGTTCTACATAATTTACTCAAAAATCCAACTTACGGACATTTTAGAACCCACACTAATGAAGCGGTTCTAAGTCATTTACTCAGAAATAAAATTTACAGACACATTTAGGAACCCACACTTATTAGACGATTGTTCTACATAATTACTCAAAAATCTAACTTAGACATTTTAAAACGCACACTAATGAAGCGGTTGTTCTGTCATTTACTCAGAAATATAATTTACGGACACATTTAAGAACCCACACTTATTAGACGATTGTTCTACATAATTTACTCAAAAATCTAACAGACATTTGAAAACTCACACTAATGAAGCGGTTGTTCTAAGGCATTTACTCAGAAATATAATTTACAGATACATTTAAAAACCCACACTTATTACACGATTGTTCTACATAATTTACTCAAAAATCTAACCTACAGACATTTTAAAACCTACACTAATGAAGCGGTTGTTCTAAGTAATTTACTCAGAAATATAGTTTACAATATTTAAACTCTCACATTTATTAGATGATTGTTCTACATATTTTACTCAAATCTAATTTACAGACATTTTAGAACCCACACTAATGAAGCGGTTCTAAGTCATTTACTCAGAAATAAAATTTACAGACACATTTAGGAACCCACACTTATTAGACGATTGTTCTACATAATTTACTCAAAAATCTAACTTACAGACATTTTAAAACGCACACTAATGAAGCGGTTGTTCTAAGGCATTTACTCAGAAATATAATTTACAGATACATTTAAAAACCCACACTTATTACACGATTGTTCTACATAATTTACTCAAAAATCTAACCTACAGACATTTTAAAACCTACACTAATGAAGCGGTTGTTCTAAGTAATTTACTCAGAAATATAGTTTAGAATATTAAAACTCTCACATTTATTAGATGATTGTTCTACATATTTTACTCAAATCTAATTTACAGACATTTTAGAACCCACACTAATGAAGCGGTTCTAAGTCATTTACTCAGAAATAAAATTTACAGACACATTTAGGAACCCACACTTATTAGACGATTGTTCTACATAATTTACTCAAAAATCTAACTTACAGACTTTTAAAACGCACACTAATGAAGCATTTGTTCTAAGTCATTTACTCAGAAATATAATTTACATACACATTTAAGAAACCACACTTATTAGACGATTGTTCTACATAATTTACTCAAAAATCTAACTTACAGACATTTTAGAACCCACACTAATGAATCGGTTCTAAGTCATTTACTCAGAAATATAATTTACACACACATTTAAAAACCCACACTTATTAGACGATTGTTCTACATAATTTACTCAAAAATCTAACTTGCAGACATTTTAAAACTCACACTAATGAAGCGGTTGTTCTAAGTAATTTACTCAGAAATACAATTTACAGACATTTAAGAATCCACACTTATTAGACGATTATTCTACATAATTTACTCAAAAATCTAACTTAGACACATTTACAAACCTACACTAATAATAAACCAATATAGTGCCAACATTTGTGGAGTAGTTGGGCTAAGCGATGTAAGTGCCAGGC